ATATGACTGAAAATTTTCATTTTTTCTGAAAAGGTGGTGTCCGTTTACTTGTGACCACTCAGTGTATATATCACCCTCATAGATTATAATGAATTAAGTCTTTTCCTTCTAAAAATATCCGCTTTTCATGTACGTTTTTACTCCTGATGCTGGTAGCGTAAAGCTACTGAAACATGTAGTCTTTTAATGTTGGCCGTTGGCCAAATTATATATATATATTGTGCATCTTAAACGTTGATTTTATTTTTATTTTAAAGTTATATTTGTTGTTGCATTTTTCAGTACTAGATTGTGGTGCAGATATGTTCGATTTTGTTCGGTTGGTGCATTTATCCCTACAAAATACCAAAATTTCATCAACTTATTAATGGAAACATCGAACATGATTTTCTTTGAAATGTTTGTTCTTCTGTTTATTATGAGCGAAACAAATATGATATAACAATTTAAAAGTTTTCAAACCATATTGCTTCTCTTTTTATAAAGGAAGGAGAGTAGCCACTACTTAAACATATGATTGTATGAATAACTTTTTTAAGGGGGAGTGAACGCAAATTTGTGATTAATAATGGTTGGAGACGGCTTGAATGGATAATGAAGAAAAAACGTTAATATAAGTTTAACATAACAGCAAATGTACAACGTTTCGACAAGGTTTTAAAGTTTTTCTTCATTACCCACTCAAGCCGTCTCCAACCATTATTAGTCTCAAAGTGGGTTCCTCGTCATCGAAATCTGTGATTAGTTCCCCTCGAAAAATCTGCATAAAACTTTGAACACGTGTAAGTTTTGAATCTCTTGGAATGGAAACTATAAGATTTACTTACATTGTCCATTGAGGAAGATAAACCCTCCAACCATAAGAATATAGTGCAAATTAAACTGTTTGGAAGTATCGTTGGCCCATGCTATACCGCCACCATAATGAACGATCCAGAAGATACAGAGGCCGAGAGCACCAAACAGCAGCACTTCAGCTAAAAACATTAACCAGCCAAAACCACAACGGACCGGCAGAGACACCTGGTTCTCTGTTTCTGAATTCTGTTTATTCCTGAAACAAAAATATAAAAAAAAACATCCTGTATATACGTTTATCTTATAATTTTTGATAGCATTTTCCTTGTCTTTATTTCAGTGTGTCCTTTTATTACAACATTACGAAAACTTTATTAATTATTTTTGTTTAATTCAGTGACATATCTTACTGTTCTCTTAGCATAGAAAATATAAAACTTTTCTTTATAAATTTCTGTTAGTTCACTATCGGACGAATTTACTACTTATTATTGATCCGTTAATCAATTTTTTGTAGTTTGTTTCTCATACTTAAATACTGGTTTTATTCAGTTCAATACTTATAATTTAAATAACTTTCTGTGATAATACTTGTTTCTCTTTTATTAGTTCATTGTATAAAATGTGTTTATATTATGCTATTATTCTGTTACTTCATTGTCCGGAGAGTGTCACATTTTATTTTGAACTACTTCAATGTTTGGAGAATATCCTCCTTATTGTTGTACTACTGCAAATTTCTTATTATTGTTATATTACTTGTTTGGCCGTCGCGACCCCTATTATCTCTACAAGGATGAAAAAATTCTTAATGTTTCTTGGCGTAGTTCGCCATAGTTCATAACAAAGGTAATATGTGCACCCCTCAGACACCTCGAGGCCTCATAAAAAATTTTGTTGACTTAGCGCATATAGATCGTAACCCCCAAGGGGGTCGTTTGAGAAACACTGTACTAGAAATTGTCTAGAAAATGTTCATTATCACTATCTTCTTATCAAACCAAACTACCTAGATAGATCAGAATTAAAAATTAACCCAGTAATGTACATATTCAATTTCATATATCGTTCTTACCAGCAGTATACAAAGTCATAAAATAAAAACAAAAACTTATAATGGTTATAATACATTGATTTATCAGTTGGTTAGCCGCTCCCTGTTGATTGAGTGGTAAATCTGATAAGACTTATAACGCTAAAAATTGGGTTTCGATACCCGCGGTGAGCAGAACAGATAGCCCATCGTGTAACTTTGCGCTTAACAACAAGCAAACAAACCGCTTGATATCCTCGACATCCTGGTTGTTGACAATATTTTCAGTCCTTCACCAGTTTATTGCATGGAATGTCCAGAAAGTATGAAAATAAATTTTGTACAATGTATGTTTCGTTAATACACCACACACACACACACACATATATATATATATAGAGAGAGAGAGATTATTTGTCTACATAATGGTTCTTTTACGTTTTCATATATATCTATATAGACAATGAAAATTGCTATCGTATTCCCCTCGCATATTCATTATATTCCAAGTACATTTTAATAAACTTCGGACTTTTTTTTCGGCACAAATAATATAAAAATGCCTTTGTGTAAAACAATAGCTTTTGGTTATTCTGTTGCAGTAGTTTGTTTATACAAAAACGAGTTACGTTTTTAACAAACTCTCATTACTTTCCGGCTGTTTCCTAATGATAGACATCGAAATATATGAATTTAAAAGAATTTTCAGAACAGTTATGAAAGAGTGTCGTCACCGTCGTTAACTTTCAAGTTCAGCGTGTAATGATTTCAGTTGTATTTACTGTACAAGAAAGTTTGTATTCAGTCCTGCAAGGGTTAATGCACTTCCGGTTCCATGCAATCGACTTTCGACTTCAGGGCAAAGGCGCTCGCTTAAATTCAAGCACTTCCTCGAAAGTTAAAAATAATTTCACAAGTTTTTGAACTAATTTGCGTGAAATTCAACACAAACCAAACAAAACCAAAAACCCGATGCCGACAAGAACAAGGGCGTACATTAGTCTGACCACTAACTGCCCGTGATCCATCACATCTTCTAGGCTCGTTAATCAGAAGACAAGTTGGCGGTTAGCAACTGCTACATTTTCCCACGCAAAGATTGTGGTTCTAATATCCTGACTTCAGTGTCATTTGGTCATGTAACTTAAAATTTCAAAAAGGATAAAATTAATGTGTACTCATTTCCAAGTCTACATGCTAAAATAATAGCCTAACTCACTGACTGTTTACTTTTCACTCTAAATGGCAGTAACTTGATTCTAATTATCTTGTTAAATTGACAGCACATGAAACTGAAGTCGTGCAACTTTTTGTTTCTCGATCAAGTTTACTGTCTTCTTGCTTTCCTAAAAGAATCTAAACTTTAACACATTGAATAGAGTACCATTTAGACATACTACTAAAAAAATTACAAACAAATGCACGTTTAACCTTCTTCATCATCACGATAACTCTATACAGCTTTTTGTTTTGTCTTAATCATCATACTTTATAATCCAAAATATCTTCGTTTGAATACCACCAAGATTTTTTATTTGCACAGACCAGAAACTGGCTACACGAAGGCTATCTGCGCTAACCGTCCCTAATTTAGCAGTGATAGACTAGAGGGAAGGCAGCTAGTCAACACCACCCACCTCCAACTCTTGGGCTACTCTTTTACCAACGAATAATGGGATTGGCCGTCATATGATAATGCCCCCACAGCTGAAAAGGGTAGGCATGTTTGGTGTGACGGGGATACGAACCCACGACCCTCAGATTTCGAGTTGAGCCCCTTAACTACCAGGCTACGCTAAGATAGTATTATGTTAAAAGTTGCAAAAGACAATCTGGCTTTAATCATTGTGGCCCGGCATTGGAAAGGTTAGTTCTGAACAGTTAGTGTTGCTAGCTGATGACTAAAAATCAATTATTCAACAACGTTTGGGCCAGATGTGGCCAAGTGGTTAGCGTGAGAGGCTGCGGATTAAAAGGTCTTAAAAATCAATTATTCAACAACGTTTGGGCCAGATGTGGCCAAGTGGTTAGCGTGAGAGGCTGCGGATTAAAAGGTCCAAGGTTCAGCCGCGATATGCTGTTCTGCACTCTCCACAATTTTAACTGTTAGAGCGTGATAACTGAGACAGTCATTCCCACAATTGGTTAAGAGTAACCGCACATACGGTATAAGCTTCTTGGTTGTCCCCCTTCTGAACCCTAAGAGTATCTGACATGGATGTCCCACGACTAGCATAAGGCGCCGTTCAGATTGAAAACATCAATACCAAACAATCAGGTTTGTTTTGTTAAGCTCATTTAAACTACATCTTCATTCGCTATTTTTTACTATGTTTAACTATATGAGATCTCGGGCTTTGGAAAATAATTTAGACGTTAGCGAGTCTATTGTTCGTAATGTCATCAAGGCAGTCTTAAAATTAATTATAGTGTTTACTCCTTCATATTTAAAAAAATAAGTTAACATCGTTTCCGGATCTGAGTGATCCAGCAGAAACTAAGCACTGTTGAAAACTCATGGATATTAAAATCAAATCCAAAAAAGTTAATATAGAATTGAAACGTTAAGAAAATTCTTAGCAAATCTAAAAACATTTAAACAAGTTATAAAATAATTATCTCTAATGTGTTTTCGTGTCAAAAGAAGTATATATGCTGTTTCAGCCATGCCTTTTAAGCAGGAGAAACACAACAGCTTTTATTAACGGCATCGCTTTGAAGGACTTGGCAATAGTTAGAGCTGTACAGTTACTCAGATCTGATGCCAATAATCTCAAAAAGGTCAGAATCTACTCGTGTTGTTTGTCTTCTGCACGCGTGACTTGAGAGAGTTATTATACGGCAAGGCAGAAGTTGTCAGGAAAAACAAGCTGAAAAAGCTGATAAACCTAATTCATTTGGACTGATATAAACATACTCAAATCAAGAGAAGCTGTGTTGGTGGGCTAAGTAAACAAACCGCTCCTTCGTTGTCATCTCTTGACATTCTGCACTCTACTCAATTTGACTTCTACCGAATTTGTCTAGACTTATTTGGGATATAGATTTATATAATCTTTGCAGTAAAATTTGAAATAAACATTATTGTAAAATTCAGCTGGGTATGTACCGTATTTTTCAGAATATAAGACGCGCCCTTATTTTGAAGACAAAGTTTTTGGGAAAAAAAGCTACAGTCGCATTTGAAAGATTTTTATTGAATAAAAATTCAATTTGATACTTTAAAAATTAGTATATATTGTTCTAAACACAAAAGAGCTCAAAACATCAAAATAAGAAAATACCGTAAATCAAAAAAGGTTTACTTTTATTTAGTTTGGTTCAAAACCTACAAAATCTTTATTGCTTTCACTGTAATTTATTTTTTTATTATTTAGGGAGCATTATAAATAGTTATGTTTTTAAAAGAAAAAAAACTACTTTTGTTATAAATAACACATTCAATTGAACTAAACTATGCATGCCTATTCAAATATATTTACACATGACTTGTGTATATCGTATATATACATATATATTATTCATACCTTCGGTGTATAGGACGCAAGCAGATTTTGACATCAAATTTGGGGGTAAAAAGGTGCATCTTATATACCGAAAAATCCGGTATATACATCTTAAAACTTCCTAAAATTTTGCAAAATCTATAACCATGAAAACACCGAGATGAAAAACTAAAATATTTTTATTAAAATAATACTATTTTAGTCTTAATATTAGTAAAAACCTTGCATTTCATAATCATTTACTTATTTCATCAGTATACAATATATAAGCCCTACCACGATGGACACGCTGGTCTAAACATTATTAAGGATGTTGTTCTGAATGCTGTGTGTTATAGGCCCGGCATGGCCAGGTGGTTAGGGAGCTCGACTCACAATCTGCGGGTCGCGGGTTCAAATCCCCGTCCCATCAAACATGCTCGACTTTTCAGCCGTGGAGGCGTTATAAAGTGACGGTCAATCCCACT